CAATCGCCTAGATTGGGACACCCATGTAAACTATGTGGTCACCAAGGTTGCCAAGAAAATTGGCGCCTTGTGGCGGGCACGCCGAAGCCTATCAATACGCTTTTTCGTCAGGTGTATGTGAAGGCGGTCACCTGCTTTATGGCTCCTGCTGCTTTTCAGCCGCAATGCGAGAGGGTCAACTGAAACGACTGCAAACCGCGCAAAACAGAGCCATCCGCTGTATCGATGGCAACCTGCCCCGGACAGCCGGGCAGCCGCTGCTCACTGCTCACTCCCTGTACCGTGTCAGCAAGCTCTACAGGCAGAACATATTGATCACCATCTGGCGGTGCATCCACGCCCGCACCAGCCCTGTGCTCGCCCAGCTCTTGACCCCAGCACAAGGCACCCCTACACTCCATCAGCAGTCAAATGGCCTTCTAAGCCAGGCAAACCGTCGCCACCTTGGTCAGCGGAGATTTTCTGTTGCTGGTGCTCTGCTGTGGAACGCTCTCCCTGGTGAGGTCCGCACAATTACCCGGCTACCTGAGTTTAAGCATGCATGTGTACCATACGCCTGTAGGGAGTAGTTCGAGTTGCTGCTGATCGCTCTGCTCTCCCTCCCCGTGCAGTCAGCAATCCTCACGTAGTATCACAGATACATCGTATTCTCTCTCTCTCTCCCCCCGTTTACTCGCAGTTATAAGTATATCCTATTCTCTTACTATGTTCTTCCATAGCCACTTCTAGGCTAAGCCTTCGCCGTCATTTTATTGGGTCGTCATCCCGTTCGAATGTGCGAAGTGGAATAAAAACCAACCAACCAACCAACCACCTGCAACAAATAATATGTGCAGCCGTTTCATACGAGTTCATGATGACATTGGAGAGAGCAGGACATAGCCGCTGGACATTGTGTGGTGCCGCTTCTCTGTTCAAGCTGTTAAATGCATTGCGAGCATCAACAAAAAGCACTCCATCTGGCTCCTCGTCATTATAAATCTGGTGCACCACATGCACCGCCGCCTTTATCCCAGCTAGTTTCCCCGCACACTTCTGGATACATCTGCAGGCTTTCTCAATATCCGGGGCTGCGACACGAAGTGCCGCCTTAGCAACAGTGCGCCTCAGCACCTGGCCAACCCCGATTGGGCGGACCTCAAGCTTCTTGTCCAGTGCAATAAGCCGACCAGCAAGAAATGGAATGAGTCCCTCCGATGGTATGACACGGGTCCCAAGCAAGCGGGCGCAATCAGCCATTGCCTCGCACAGGCGTTTTGAGGCGCCTTTGAACGCCAAACACATGCGGCGCCAGGCAACAGCATCCAGACCGGAAGGGCCAGCGGAGCCCTCCGTGTGCTCGGCTTTGGGCTTGAGGGGATCCGGGGTCAACGGGTCAACTCGAATGCCATCCACCATCCTTGGGGGCTGTCCACTCATCAAGACTCCCGGGCTGGCAGCCAGCCTCTTTGGGTGCTTCTCCTGAAGAAGGTCCCTGACAGAGCTTCGGGTGCTGGCCTTTAGAGCGACCATGTCGTCTATTTTGAGCACTCCACTGTCATCATTCCCGCTATCCAATGAGCGCAGTGCATCGTGTACTCTTCCCTTCATCATGTGTTCAGCAAACATGCGGGCTCTGTCACTCTCTCCTTGCCTCCGGCCATCCGGCCTAGAGCGAAACAAGGTGTCCTGCAGGCAACTGCCCTCCGCCAGCAGTGCATGCTGGTGGAGTGATCTAACGAAAGACGTGGTGAACGAAAATTTTTACTTCTACAGTACAACCATTATCGGTTGGCAGAGTCTCAGTCTTGCCAAACAAAGCTTGCGAATACCAGCAATGCTTGTACAATGCAGTATTGTACAATGCAGTATTGTACTACTCCATGGCCTATACCAATGCCTGTACAATGAGGTACACGGACAAGAGAGCTTAAAAGCTCAGGACCCTCGCTATTCTTTTTTGCCTAGGTCATCATTCATATTATTCGAGCTATCCTTTTTTGCCTAGGTCATCATTCAAGTTATTCGAGCTATCCTTTTTTGCCTAGGACATCATTCAAGTTATTCGAGCTATCCTTTTTTGCCAAGGACATCATTCATATTATTCGAGCTATCCTTTTTTGCCTAGGTCATCATTCAAGTTATTCGAGCTATCCTTTTTTGCCTAGGTCATCATTCATGTTATTTGAGCTATCCTTTTTAGCTTAGGTCATCATTCATGTTATTCGAGCTATCCTTTGTGCCTAGGTCATCATTCATGTTATTCAAGCTATCCTTTTTTTGCTTAGGTCATCATTCATGTTATTCGAGCTATCCTTTTTTGCCTAGGTCTTCATATATGTTATTCGAGCTATCTTTTTTTTGCCTAGGTCATCATTCAAGTTATTCGAGCTATCCTTATTTGCCTAGGTCATCATTCATGTTATTCGAGCTATCCTTTTTTGCCTTGGTCATCATTCAAGTTATTCGAGCTATCCTTTTTTGCCTAGGTCATCATTTATGTTATGCGAGCTATCCTTTT